CTTTTGGAACCTTGAAATCAACCTCCTAGTGATATACCTCTTTCAGCAAGGCTACATCTCTTAATCCTTCCAAAAACAGTTCCAAAAACAGAGCCTAAGGGGGCCATTTTTATTCAAACCATCATACCATCTATGCTGGGATTTGTCTTGAGCTTAATAGGTTTTATGCAGTCATAGCCACTATGAGTTCATTCCTACAATGACCTTGTCCTGTCGAGCAAATAGTGCTTTGCTGCAGATGCACAGTATTTCTGCCTCTTAAAATCTTCCCTCCCATTCTTCTGCGATGATCCCTCAGCTCTGGGGAGACATCTCCTAACTGCCCGTAAGCTGTTATCTTTTACCCACACATTAGTGTGTCTCTGGATTCTCATTAGAGAAGATCCTTTTTGCAATAGATAGAGATTAATGCAGAGTCTCACAATTTGTAAAGATTTTCTTTTTAAAGATTTTTATAGTGTTTATTCCTACTGGATGCTTATTGGATTTTATGGATATATTTATTTATTTTAGTTCATGATATTTTTTTCTAAAATACCTATCTCATGTCTGGGTAGTAGCTGGTTAAGATACCATTAACTTGGAGGTAAGTGCACAAAAATTGTGCTTAGTCTCTTGTAACTAAGTCTCCACAAATTGATCACCAGACAGAAAATAGCCACCGATAAATGTAGAAATTACATAAATGTAGAACTCAAGCAAGATAAAATCATTCATGCCTTGATTTTCCTAAGTGATAGTATATTTTTTAAAAAGCTTAGTACTAGACGGAAATTAGAAAATTTAAAACAATTTTTATATGTAGTCTTAGAGAAGAGAGCAAAATATGAGTTTTTAATACCTAAGTTGCAACCAATCAGAAACTGGGTTAGCTTAGTAGCATAACACTTGCCTAAAAGATTAAAGGCCTTGTTTTTTCAGCACCAAAATACAAATTCAGACAATTACTCTCTCTTCTCCTGTGAACTCAGTCAGAATTTTATGTCAATCACTTCTTTTCAGTCTAATAATTTGTGATTTATTTTTCTAGAGTAGTTGTTGGCATTACTTTTATTTATGTTTTTAAAAATCTTTTCCTCCTTACTCTACCCCAGTACCTTCTAACACCCCAACACCGGTAGTAGAGAGAAATATAAAAGAAATGGAAATAAAAAGAGGTTAGGTCTATTTTATTTTGGTTTCTTTTGCATCTTCCTCTCTTCTCCACCCTAATCCCTTCCAGCAACCCAATACCAGATAGAAGAGAAAGGTTAGTGGGGAGAAGGGGTGGAGCTTGGCTTAGCTACTTTCTGCTGGGTAGGGTCAGAGGATTCTTTTGGTCAGTGGTCAGAAAATCCAGAAGTCCAGGACTAGCAAATCCGCAAACCGCAAAGGCAGCAGCAGGACAAACCAGCAGCAAGCAGTCTTTCTCCAAGCAGCCACGCCGTCTTCCTCTAGACTGTCCTATTTATAACCCTCAAAGTCTTCAGAATTCAACTAATTCCAGCTGGCAACGACCATGCTCTGCATGAGACCCTTAACAGGTGTGGACAAACTAAAACCCCCCAATTTGGACTTATAACAAAAACATGTTTACATGTCATAAGCCAAAGTGTCCACAACAATTAGCAGATATTTTCATAGACAATGGGAATAAGGACGGTGCAAATGAAGTACTTTTTCCTAAAATAAATGTTAGTAAATAGTGTACTTATTTATATTGAAACCTGTATTTGGGCCAGTGTGAACTAAATATTTTCCTGCAAGTTTTCTTTCTCTTATATCTGAGAAATGTATTTGGTTCTCTTAGCCAGTCATGTTTGAGATGTTTTACTTTAACTTTCTTACTTTGATAGGTTCTTATAGTAACTCAGATCTGTCATACTGTCAGCATTTATCTGTCTACTGTTGACAAATAGTGCAACACATTCCTTGTGGGAAACCTCTCACAGTCTCCCCCCAGATTATCTCTGCTCAAGCTCAAGATGGAGATGTTGGTTGGTTTTAATCTTATCATTGTCAAACTGCATCTTCTCAGAGAGTACTCTGCAATTTCCAGATTCAGTTAGAAACATTGAGAATTCAACCAGTGCTGAAGAGAAGGCAATCTTTTCACCATTCTCTCTGATAGGAGTGGAAAAGATAACAGGTTTGGAGCTGGTTGTATCCTTTTACGAACCGCATTGACTTGGAGAAATCAGCTGCAGTCATAAGGAGTAGAGGAGAATGATGGTAAATGTTTTAGTTACTCTTCTATGGGTGTGATAAAAACACTATGGCCCATGCAACTTAAGAAAAAAAAAGTTTATTCGGGGCTTACAGTTTTGGAAGGTGAGAGTCCATGACTGTCAAGGTGGGGATCATGGCAGCAGGTAAGCAGGCATGGTTGGAGCAGTGAGTGAAAGCCTACATCTGATCCATAGGCAAGAGGCAGAGAGAGACAGAGAGGGAGAGAGAGAGCAGGAGAGGGGGGGCAAGTGGAATTTCAAATGATATCAGCTTTTTGAAACAACTTCAAAGCACACATCTCCTTCAACAAGGCCACACCTCCTAATCCTTCCCTGACAGTTTCACCATCTGAGACAAGGTACTGAAACGTCAGAGTCTATGGGGCCATTCTCATTCAAACTACCACATCTTGAAAGTTTTCTTTTTTTTTGGGGGGGGGAATTATGTTTATCGACATATTGTTTTTCAACAAGAACATACTACTCATGTAACTAAAAATAAACATCTGATAAGTACAATACTGTGTTCCTAACTCCTCATCCCTTCTTCCAGATCTACGCTCCCATCTGTTCTTTGGGTTGTACTGAATTTGAATTTGGGGCATTGTTGAATTTGAGGAGAGCATTCTCTAGTTACATCTTTAGCCCAACAACAAACATATTTCCACTGGATCAATTGCTCCTCTGTCCAGTGTTCCGAATGTGTTGTATATCCACACACTCATTTATTTCCTTCTTCTTCAGGGGGTCCTATTGTTCTGGGAATGTGTGAGTAAATGTCCTTAAGCTTTGGGATTTGGGACTTGCTTAGTAAATCAATAATGGCACCTCACACTTAATCTCGATTAGCTATCAATTACAATTTAAAAGTGATTTTCATGCTGTAGTCAATGAGTACTCGCTGAGCCTTGTAACCGAGTGATTTTAAATATTCTGTGAAACACCGGCAGAGATGTACTCTGCCTTGACTCAGCCCCTGAACTTTCTATTTCCCCAGGACGTTAAGCTGGGGCAGGCTACAGGGAAGTGTATTATAGTTGAATGCTGCGGTGCCTGACTGTACTTGGCTCCTGCCAAGAGCCGGGAAGAGCTGTTTAGCTGTATCTAATTACATCAGTAACGTAAGACTAGGTTTACATCATTTTAAGGAGTGTTATGGAACCCAGAAGCTGAATTTGGAGCTGCTAGTGAGTAGGAGTCGCGGCGTTCACCATGTCAGCTGGATTTGAAGTTCAGCTTGTTTCCTCTCAACAGGAAGAAACTGTTATCTTGGGGAGCTGTTCTCAGCAGAAGGCTAATAAATCGACAGGCCACCAGGCGGCGCAGTCTTGCTACAGTGGGCTCCGGACAGGCACGCTCTCTCCTGGATCTTCTGAAGTCTGAGTATTAGATTTCACTGTTTCAGAGTCTAAAGTCTGTTTAATCTCTCCCTGGGAAGATGGTGAAGCCTTGCTTCAAAGCTACACGATACCTTTAACGTTATTCCGCTGAGATGATTTTTTTTTTCCTCGTTGCTGGAGAGCGCGATATTATGGAGCTTCGGTGACTGATAGAGCGGGAGGGACTTGGAGAAATTCTAATAACTTCATAGTGTAATAGGGACGACAAACATTTTCTCTGAAGGAAACAGGCTTGGGCTGCATGACTAGGCCTCATGCTAAGAAACTTTTGTTCAAATAAGGGAACCAAGTGAGAGCAGAAGTGGTTTAGGGAAAACATGGATTTTACATTTTTTCATTTAAATCCGGCATCCCTCTTCTGACTGCCTTAGGAAGATGGCTGATGAGTCTTCATCTCCTGAAGTGGAACAACACAAAATAATTTACAGAACATTTAAATTAACGGGAGGCGGGGTTTCTAAACCAACCAACAACTGGCCATTAGCAATTAAAATCATCATCCTCAAACGATCTGAAACTGCTTTGTTTCCGGCAAAATGGGGCATTTAAAATAGCTTTCCCAAATCGAGAGGTGGCAGCGGAGTTCGTCGGGGAGAAGGTATCCCCCTGGGCTCACGTGCCGGGCAAGGAAGGCGGCAATATCCTATCACACCGCAAATCCGATTCTTGGGTTTCCTTCTTCCACTTGGAATCGGGTTACGTAAGAGCGTGATGCACACACCCAAAGTTGTTTTTCCCTTCGGGGATCCACAGGAAGTATTCGGGGACTCACTTGGGAGATAAGCTACCTCTCTCCCCAGAGAGTCCAGACGGGAAGAATCTGAGAGAGAGAGAGAGAGAGAGAGAGAGAGAGAGAGAGAGAGAGAGAGAGAGAGAAGGGACCTGGAGAAAGGAAACTGAAGAAACCAGAGATCAGGGTCCCGGAGGGCTCCAAAACTGACTAACTGTCGGGCAGCAGTCGGACACTCACTGCCGAGGGACAGAACTGGGTGGTTGAGTGACGGGGAAGGAGGACAGGCCGGCCTTAGCCTGCTGTGGGCCTCCGCGCCTCAGCGGCAGCCTCCAGACCGGCTTCTTCGTGCCCAGGTACCCGCGCCTCCCACTGGAGCATCTACCCCGGGGCCCGCCGCTCGGCCCCGCCCACAAAGAGAGGGAGGCGGAGCGTGTGGCCCCGCCCACAGAGGGAGGTGGGCCCCGCCCACAAGAGAGGGCCCTCTGCTGCCCCGCTCTGGGAGGAGGCGGTCTCGCTTGGCTCCTCCCCCCCGAGCGGACACGTGACGCACGGCCCCGCCCCCGGCCGCTCCGCCAGCGCCAGCCCAGCGGAGGTTGCCGAGCGGGCGGCTGAGGTGGCCGGCGGGCAGCGGCTCGGCAGCCGGCGGCGAGCGCGCCGTGCCCCACGGAACTTGCCCGCAGCCGCCCCGCGGCGGCGTCCGCCCTGTCCCATGTCCCGCAAGGCGAGCGAGGACGTGGAGTACACGCTGCGCAGCCTGAGCAGCCTGATGGGCGAGCGGCGCCGGCGGCAGCCGGAGCCCGGGGCGCCGGGCGGGGAGCGCAGCCTGCTGGCCGCCGAGTCGGCCGCCAGCCTGCAGGGCGCGGAGCTGGAGCGCGCGGCGCGCAGGCAGTTCCAGCGCGACGAGACCCCCGCCTTCGTGTACGCGGCCGCCGCCTTCTCGGCGCTCGGCGGCTTCCTGTTCGGCTACGACACCGGCGTGGTGTCGGGGGCCATGCTGCTGCTGCGGCGCCAGATGCGCCTGGGCGCGATGTGGCAGGAGCTGCTGGTGTCGGGCGCGGTGGGCGCGGCCGCCGTCGCGGCGCTGGCCGGAGGGGCCCTGAACGGCGCCCTCGGCCGGCGCAGCGCCATCCTGCTGGCCAGCGCCCTGTGCACCGCGGGCTCCGCCGTGCTGGCCGCCGCCGCCAACAAGGAGACGCTGCTGGCGGGTCGCCTGGTCGTGGGGCTCGGCATCGGTGAGTGGCCGTGCCCGCGAGCCCCGCTGAACCCCTGCGCTCCCCTGCTTCGAGGCCCTCCGTGGGGGTCTCGGGGTCACCAGCGCCCTAGTGGCTGTGGAGGATGCGCTCCCTCCTCCCGGATTCCCACGTGGAATCTGCGGTCGCCGGACGGTCTCGAGCAATTCCAGGAACCCCAGCTTTCCCCCGATCTGTGCTAACCCGAGGCAGCTTGTTGAGTTTAGGAAGCTTTAGACGTCTCCACCCGGAATGGAGTGTTTCCCCCCCACCGCCAGCCCTCTTTTAGGATGTTCAGCCCAGGCAGCTTTAGGCAAAATGCGGTAGATGGTTTGTAGAGTGGAGGAGTTTTGAACTCCGAAATCCCTGTTTCGGTTCCAGTTCCATCTCCTCTTTTTTAGATGAGATCCCTGCCAACAACCCCCCCCCCCCGCCCCCGCATCCCCCGTTAGAACTTTTACCTCGGGCCAACATTCACCGTTCTCATTTTGTCTTTTCTGCTCTTTCCATATGGGAACCAAATTATCTATTAAAGGTCATATTCATTTCCTAAATTCATTTAGGAGCTACTCTGTGAAGAATGCCCAGCAAGATAGATACTTGAAATTTACTTTAGAAATTAAGACATTTAGGTTCCCTTGGCATTGATTTTTTTTTCCACTCGTGGTGGTGGTGGGGGAGGGTAGGTACTATTGGTGAGCTCTTGGCAGAGGAAGCTGTTTGGGATGTGCCCAGTGTTATTAGAAAGCACTTTTAAGGGGAAACTGGGAGTTGCGACTTAAATCGCACTGGTAATTTTCCGAGACACACCACTGATGATGCTTCTTAAAACGTTTCCTTTTATAATTCGGTTTCCCTCAGGGTGCTGTGGAAGTATTGCTTCCCTGTGGGTGGGCTGGATGTCTGCCTGGAGCTTCCCTGACTGACCACTCACTGCTATTTGATGTTGCTGCTTTTCTCCCTTCAGCATAGGTTGTTAGGGGGGGGGGGGGGAAGCAAACTCATTCAACTCCCAGTTGTAGGAGCCAGGAGCCTAAGCCCCAGCTCACTGCACTTGTAACCCAAATCACTGCCTTTCCTTTCGCTGTTAATTACTGAAGCAGGGGAAGGCTGTCTGTAAAATGTGGACCTGGCAAATGAAGGTCCACACGACCACCAAACAGACAGAACAGTGGAAATGCAATCTCTGTGTGGAAATGCAATCTCTGTGTGGAAATGGCCTGTAGGATCGCTCAACAGATAACCTGCCTTAGACGCATCTCCATACCCTCGGCACCATCTCCTTGGGGCAGAGAGCCTCTCTTTGCATCCACCCTCCTTTCTCCCTGGCAGAGAAATAACGTTTTAGTTATCAACTAAAATGTTTGTCCTTATAAACTCCCAGACTTAGGTATTTTTGAGACTGAGGTTTTGCTGATGTGTCTCAGTGAGACTTGTAACATCAGATGAAAACTGAAGCATTGTTCTGACTCTTGCCTGACGGTCTTGAGGCCTTGTCAGATTCCCTTCAGATGTAGATACAGGATCATAAGGGCAGCATCATCTATAGTCTGCTTAGCCAGCGAGACCAACGGCAGGTAGAACTGGCTCTTGGTCCTCAGGTCAGTGGTTCTCAACCTTCCTAATGCCGCGATCCTATAATACATGTCACTCATGTTGCCGTGACTGCCAACCATAAAATTATTGAATTGCTACTTCATAACTGTAATTTCGCTACTTTTATGAATTGTAATGTAAATATTTGATATGCAGGATATCTGATAAGTTACCCCAAAAGGCCCTGACCCATAGGTTGAGAACTAGTGCATTAGGAGGAAAGGGTCAGAGGTGATGGGTGGTTAGACTCAGGAAATGCAGTGTTCTCGATGGAGAGAAGCCAGGTCTTACTGGTGGAAATAACACTGATAGGCAAGGAATGATTGAATATTGGAGATGAGGAAAGAACCCTCTAGGTCAGGCAGCAAATACAGAAGGAAGGCAAACAATGTACTTAGGGAAGCAGAGAAGACACTGTGAGAAGAGTGAAGCCAAAGCTGCGGCAGCTTTGAGATGGAGGACAGTGTGAAGTCATACACAGTCTTTGACACAGGATCCATAAAAGTCAGAGGAACAACATCAAGCTCAAAGTAGTGGTTAAGCTGCAGTTTCGAACATAAAGACCTTCGGGACTCACAGATCAGCATCCCTCCAAGAGAACTCTTAGTTGCTTTTAGCTGCAAGGGAAACATGAGTGTTTTGTCGACGTTGTTGTCTGTTTGGGGAGATAATAAATCAGTTTTGTCTTCTCAGTACACTAAATCTGGGCTTTTTTCACCATCTTTTAAAGCAGGTAATGTTTATGTGTGGTGAGCAGGTTTTCTCTTTTTTGTGTGTTCTTTGATAATTTAGTAAATGTTGAATAACAAAATGTGTCTTGTGCCATTTCTAGGCAAGTTCTTCATGATAACTTTTTCCCACAGGTTTGTCCTGGGGAAAATATAAGGGCCCCAGGAACAGGGGTTTTGTCAATTTTGTTCAAATTTTCACATTTGTATTCCTGAAGCACAGGAGAAACATGTTGAGTGCTTGAATGAATGATGAGCAGAAATGTTACAAACAAACAAACAAACTGCAACTTCCATGCCTGGTGCAGTATCAGTTTAATTTAAAATTGTCCTTTAAAAATAAGATTAGTGCATTATCAAACATATCTGAAAGGTCATCGAAAGGTGATAGTGTTTGTACTTTAATGAAACCATTCATTCATCTAGTCAGTAAATGATTAAGTTTCTGTCATGAATTCTGTCAGAGCTGGGGTAGGGAGTAATTAGTTAAATATAAACCCCACCCTGGAGGTATTTATTCTCTAATGGATCAGGAAGGCACATAATAGCCAATTACACAGCAGTAGAAGGTTCTCTAAAGTGCCAGAGAAATGGGGACAGCAGGGCATTGAGTGTTTGCGCTGTGTGCATAGAAAGGGTGCTGGAAACGTGGCTCAGTGCTTCCGAGACCTGCTGCTCTTGCTGAGGCTAGGGTTCCCAACGTCCGTGTCCTGCAGCCCACAACCACATTTCCCCCAGCCTCCAGGAATCTTTGGTGTTGCTGCAACTGCGTTCAAATGTACGCAGCCCTGTACAGTCACATTCACACACAGCTGAGAATGGAAATCAAACAGGATGCAGGATTAAGAAAGATTTTAGAGAAACAATATTTAAGTTAGAGGTTGAAAGATAAAGATTCCAACGGATGATGTAAGCAGGAAGGGAGAAAGTGCTGGTTTCCCACTCTGTCTGTCCCGGGCACAGGAGAATTCTTTATGCTGTCTCATGTAGTCATCTTACCTTTTATCTCTTTCCTCTTCAGAACCAGGCCTCCTGCTGCTGGATGTGGAAACTTTCCAGCAGCTACATGCAAAGGTCATAGATGCAAAATCAGGATCCAGTAAGCAAGATCTCGAAAGTCTTAGTTTTTTCCGTTTGGCTTTACTAGACATTTAAAGTGGAGCTGTCCTCAGGAGTGAGGTCACAGAAAATTCAGGGTTTGAGAGGCTTGTGAGGGGGTCATGTGCCTGGGATGTCAGCTGGAGAGGCTGTTTAAAGGCCCTGTGTGCAGGGAAGTGAGTTTCTAGTGATGCGCTAATCCCATGGAGCTGTTCTAAATCCCCCTTGCCTCACTCCCTTCTGCGTTTTAGCTCTTGTCTCCTTTCTTTTCAACTTTCTTGTCTAGGAAGACTTTTAGCGTCAGGAATTCTTTGCAGAGTTGGTGACCATGGTGTGAATACAGAACAGCTGCCAGTTTGATCTCTTCAGTAGAGATCTCTTAAAAAGAGAACAGTTGGCCAGAGAGTGTAGTTACTGATCTGTAAGTGTTCGGTGAGTCTTGAAGGCAAACGTTAGAAAAGAAGGCTTTTTTTTTTTTTTTTTTTTTTTTCTGGTTAGAGAAATACATTTTCTTGGTGAGTTATAGCAAAATAATGTAGCGAGTGCCGTTGTGCACAGGGCACACTTTTAGTCTCTTCATTTTGCCTTACTCAGCTCAGAGACCAGGCTTTGTTATTGTTCCTGCTTTTTGCCTTTTTAAACTTGAAGGCAAATAGGATACATATCCCTGAAATTACTCTAACAGAAGAATCTTACTTAAATGTGTGTGCCCCTCACACAAAGACCATTTGCTAGGAGTCTATTTGATTCTTTTTGAGCCGGGGTATATTTATAATAATGCTTTAAAAAGAAAACGAGTGGAGGGCTGGCGAGATGGCTTAGCAGTTAAGGATGTATATATCTCTTGCGGAAGACCTGAGTTTGGTTCACAGCGTCTACACTGAGCTCACCACCATCTGCCGATCCTGCATGTGGGCACTGCATGTATGTGCACATACTTTTCCTCCTTACATAAGATGAAAAATGATGAAAATAAATAAGGACTGTAAGTGTTTGCTCAAGGCATTCCTCCTCACCCCCATGTGTGGCTCTGTGTTTGTTTCTCATGTTTAGAAACTTTGGAGTATGAGAACACGCTGTTAAAAAAAAAAAAAAAAAACACATGCAGAAAGAACTCTCACCCTCGTTCTAGCATTCACCTGGTAACTAATGTTTTCATGTTCTTGTAGGAAGTGTCAAGGTACTGAAATTCTGAGATTCACTACTACTCAGACCTTTCTTGAAATTGCTGACATCACAGAGAAGTGACATCACAGAAATTTAGATAGCCTCAAACAAGTAACATCGCAGCAATTTACAGTTTACAATCCTGTCAGATTTGTGGAACCACTCTTAGCTTTACCTCAGTTCCCCAGTTTACCCCAGTCAGTAATACAGTTTATAGCTTCCTGTTATAATTTGTAGTTGTTAAGAACAGTGCTTTCAAAGATATGACATAACCCTTTAAATTTTTATTCCTTACTATAAATGAGTGTAAAACCTTGCTTGATCAAGATAAATGCCAAGCAATATTGAGATTACTGTAAATACTTTTCTTTAGGCTAAGCGTAGTTAATCCAAAGGAGTTAGATTTTTAAATAA